GGTTAAAAAGTCATAAAAACGTCATAGTATAGCAAGGCGTAAAAAGTCATGGTATAGTAAAGCAAAAAAAGTCATAAAAGCAACATAGTATAGTTAGGCATAAAAAGTCACAAAGAAGTCATAGTATAGTAAGGCAAAAAAGTCACAAAAACATCATAGTATAGTAAGGGTTAAAAAGTCATAAAAACGTCATAGTATAGCAAGGCGTAAAAAGTCATGGTATAGTAAAGCAAAAAAAGTCATAAAAGCAACATAGTATAGTTAGGCATAAAAAGTCACAAAAAAGTCACAGTATAGTAGGGCATAAAAAGTCATAATAACGTCATATTATAGTGAGGCATAAAAAGTCATAGTGTAGTAAGGCGTAAAAAATCATAAAAACGTCATAGTATTGTAAGGCATAAAAAGTCAAAAAGGTCATAATATAGTAAGGCATAAAAAGTCATAATATAGTAAGGCATAAAAACTCATAAAAGCGTCATAGTATAGTAAGGCATAAAAAGTCATAGTATAGTTAGGCCAAAAAAGTCATAAAAACAACATAGTACAGTAAGGCATAAAAAGTCACAAAAAAGTCATAGTATAGTTAGGCATAAAAAGTCGTAAAAATGTCATAGTATAGTATGGCATAGAAAGTCGTAAAAATGTCATAATATTGTGAGGCATAAAAAGTCATAAAAAATGTCATAGTATAGTAAGGCATAAAAAGTCGTAAAAATGTCATAATATAGTAAGGCATAAAAAGTCATAAAAAGTCATAGTATAGTAAGGCATAAAAAGTCGTAAAAATGTCATAATATAGTAAGGCATAAAAAGTCATAAAAAGTCATAGTATAGTAAGGCATAAAAAGTCGTAAAAATGTCATAATATAGTAAGGCATAAAAAGTCATAAAAAGTCATAGTATAGTAAGGCATAAAAAGTCGTAAAAATGTCATAATATAGTAAGGCATAAAAAGTCATAAAAAGTCATAGTATAGTAAGGCATAAAAAGTCGTAAAAATGTCATAATATAGTAAGGCATAAAAAGTCATAAAAAGTCATAGTATAGTAAGGCATAAAAAGTCGTAAAAATGTCATAATATAGTAAGGCATAAAAAGTCATAAAAAGTCATAGTATAGTAAGGCATAAAAAGTCGTAAAAATGTCATAATATAGTAAGGCATAAAAAGTCATAAAAAGTCATAGTATAGTAAGGCATAAAAAGTCGTAAAAATGTCATAATATAGTAAGGCATAAAAAGTCATAAAAAGTCATAGTATAGTAAGGCATAAAAAGTCGTAAAAATGTCATAATATAGTAAGGCATAAAAAGTCATAAAAAGTCATAGTATAGTAAGGCATAAAAAGTCGTAAAAATGTCATAATATAGTAAGGCATAAAAAGTCATAAAAAGTCATAGTATAGTAAGGCATAAAAAGTCGTAAAAATGTCATAATATAGTAAGGCATAAAAAGTCATAAAAAGTCATAGTATAGTAAGGCATAAAAAGTCGTAAAAATGTCATAATATAGTAAGGCATAAAAAGTCATAAAAAGTCATAGTATAGTAAGGCATAAAAAGTCGTAAAAATGTCATAATATAGTAAGGCATAAAAAGTCATAAAAAGTCATAGTATAGTAAGGCATAAAAAGTCGTAAAAATGTCATAATATAGTAAGGCATAAAAAGTCATAAAAAGTCATAGTATAGTAAGGCATAAAAAGTCGTAAAAATGTCATAATATAGTAAGGCATAAAAAGTCATAAAAAGTCATAGTATAGTAAGGCATAAAAAGTCGTAAAAATGTCATAATATAGTAAGGCATAAAAAGTCATAAAAAGTCATAGTATAGTAAGGCATAAAAAGTCGTAAAAATGTCATAATATAGTAAGGCATAAAAAGTCATAAAAAGTCATAGTATAGTAAGGCATAAAAAGTCGTAAAAATGTCATAATATAGTAAGGCATAAAAAGTCATAAAAAGTCATAGTATAGTAAGGCATAAAAAGTCGTAAAAATGTCATAATATAGTAAGGCATAAAAAGTCATAAAAAGTCATAGTATAGTAAGGCATAAAAAGTCGTAAAAATGTCATAATATAGTAAGGCATAAAAAGTCATAAAAAGTCATAGTATAGTAAGGCATAAAAAGTCGTAAAAATGTCATAATATAGTAAGGCATAAAAAGTCATAAAAAGTCATAGTATAGTAAGGCATAAAAAGTCGTAAAAATGTCATAATATAGTAAGGCATAAAAAGTCATAAAAAGTCATAGTATAGTAAGGCATAAAAAGTCGTAAAAATGTCATAATATAGTAAGGCATAAAAAGTCATAAAAAGTCATAGTATAGTAAGGCATAAAAAGTCGTAAAAATGTCATAATATAGTAAGGCATAAAAAGTCATAAAAAGTCATAGTATAGTAAGGCATAAAAAGTCGTAAAAATGTCATAATATAGTAAGGCATAAAAAGTCATAAAAAGTCATAGTATAGTAAGGCATAAAAAGTCGTAAAAATGTCATAATATAGTAAGGCATAAAAAGTCATAAAAAGTCATAGTATAGTAAGGCATAAAAAGTCGTAAAAATGTCATAATATAGTAAGGCATAAAAAGTCATAAAAAGTCATAGTATAGTAAGGCATAAAAAGTCGTAAAAATGTCATAATATAGTAAGGCATAAAAAGTCATAAAAAGTCATAGTATAGTAAGGCATAAAAAGTCGTAAAAATGTCATAATATAGTAAGGCATAAAAAGTCATAAAAAGTCATAGTATAGTAAGGCATAAAAAGTCGTAAAAATGTCATAATATAGTAAGGCATAAAAAGTCATAAAAAGTCATAGTATAGTAAGGCATAAAAAGTCGTAAAAATGTCATAATATAGTAAGGCATAAAAAGTCATAAAAAGTCATAGTATAGTAAGGCATAAAAAGTCGTAAAAATGTCATAATATAGTAAGGCATAAAAAGTCATAAAAAGTCATAGTATAGTAAGGCATAAAAAGTCGTAAAAATGTCATAATATAGTAAGGCATAAAAAGTCATAAAAAGTCATAGTATAGTAAGGCATAAAAAGTCGTAAAAATGTCATAATATAGTAAGGCATAAAAAGTCATAAAAAGTCATAGTATAGTAAGGCATAAAAAGTCGTAAAAATGTCATAATATAGTAAGGCATAAAAAGTCATAAAAAGTCATAGTATAGTAAGGCATAAAAAGTCGTAAAAATGTCATAATATAGTAAGGCATAAAAAGTCATAAAAAGTCATAGTATAGTAAGGCATAAAAAGTCGTAAAAATGTCATAATATAGTAAGGCATAAAAAGTCATAAAAAGTCATAGTATAGTAAGGCATAAAAAGTCGTAAAAATGTCATAATATAGTAAGGCATAAAAAGTCATAAAAAGTCATAGTATAGTAAGGCATAAAAAGTCGTAAAAATGTCATAATATAGTAAGGCATAAAAAGTCATAAAAAGTCATAGTATAGTAAGGCATAAAAAGTCGTAAAAATGTCATAATATAGTAAGGCATAAAAAGTCATAAAAAGTCATAGTATAGTAAGGCATAAAAAGTCGTAAAAATGTCATAATATAGTAAGGCATAAAAAGTCATAAAAAGTCATAGTATAGTAAGGCATAAAAAGTCGTAAAAATGTCATAATATAGTAAGGCATAAAAAGTCATAAAAAGTCATAGTATAGTAAGGCATAAAAAGTCGTAAAAATGTCATAATATAGTAAGGCATAAAAAGTCATAAAAAGTCATAGTATAGTAAGGCATAAAAAGTCGTAAAAATGTCATAATATAGTAAGGCATAAAAAGTCATAAAAAGTCATAGTATAGTAAGGCATAAAAAGTCGTAAAAATGTCATAATATAGTAAGGCATAAAAAGTCATAAAAAGTCATAGTATAGTAAGGCATAAAAAGTCGTAAAAATGTCATAATATAGTAAGGCATAAAAAGTCATAAAAAGTCATAGTATAGTAAGGCATAAAAAGTCGTAAAAATGTCATAATATAGTAAGGCATAAAAAGTCATAAAAAGTCATAGTATAGTAAGGCATAAAAAGTCGTAAAAATGTCATAATATAGTAAGGCATAAAAAGTCATAAAAAGTCATAGTATAGTAAGGCATAAAAAGTCGTAAAAATGTCATAATATAGTAAGGCATAAAAAGTCATAAAAAGTCATAGTATAGTAAGGCATAAAAAGTCGTAAAAATGTCATAATATAGTAAGGCATAAAAAGTCATAAAAAGTCATAGTATAGTAAGGCATAAAAAGTCGTAAAAATGTCATAATATAGTAAGGCATAAAAAGTCATAAAAAGTCATAGTATAGTAAGGCATAAAAAGTCGTAAAAATGTCATAATATAGTAAGGCATAAAAAGTCATAAAAAGTCATAGTATAGTAAGGCATAAAAAGTCGTAAAAATGTCATAATATAGTAAGGCATAAAAAGTCATAAAAAGTCATAGTATAGTAAGGCATAAAAAGTCGTAAAAATTTCTTAGTATAGTAAGGCATAAAAAGTCATAGTATAGTGAGGCATTAAACGTCATAGTACAGTGAATTATAAAATGTTAAAAAAAACATCATAGTGTAGTCAGTTACACAGACATCTATATATACTCCCACTCTTATGCCCTCTTACTCAGACACATATTCTCACGTGTTGTATGCATGTATATGCATGATTAAGCATATACAGCGTGTGTATGTATGTACATATATAACCATATGTGTATATATGCATATATACATATATTCATATCCATGAAAGTATACATGTATGTCGAAGTGCTCAGTATGATCCAGCTGAAAAGTTCCATCTTTACTCCAGCATACATTCAGCATCTGGGTCTCAGCTGTGTGAAGAAACTGGTGGCCAATCTGAGCAGATGATGTCGTGACAGTGCCTCTGTTCGAATAAACCAAATAACACATCTGTTTTCATTAGCTTATGTCTTTATTAATTACATTTTACAATTATATAAATTAACTTTACATCATTTACATTGTTAATTTACATTGCTTTACAGTATTATACAAAGATGATTCCTTAATTATACAGTTAGACCGTCAAGCAAGTCCTCAGCCTCTTAAAACATGTGGTTAAGTGTTGAAGTGTGGACGTGGTCGTCCGTCAGTCTCTGAGGATGAACACTTGGAATCTATTTCTCCTGGTGTCACTTCACGGTGAGTTTCTCTTGAATGTTTCTGTATCGCAGCAGCTCCTGCTCCGACACAGACGGCTTGAAGTTTTCTAACGCTGTGGAGAAATCCTCAACGGAGAGGAGGACAGGGGAGTCCTCTGAGTCCAGACCTGAGAGAGAGAGAGAGAGAGAGAGAGAGAGAGAGAGAGAGAGAGTGTGACTGGAGAAGCTGAGACAGCAACACCTTCACAGATTAGTGTGTATTTGATTTATATTCTAACCTTTTGGTGTAGATATTAATTAATTAGCACTGTTGCTTCTCTGTGAAAATTCTTTAGCTGAATGTCTAAACAAACACAAGTTACTGGGGAGTATTTAATAAAAGCATTAGAGGTGCGTTGTGTCTGTTCAAACCCTGTGCACATGTTTCAAGACGTCCGTGGTTGAAATGTTCCAGACCTGTTGTTCCTGTTTTCTTACCTTCGTCGATGAGAGAGATTTTCCTCTTGATGGCGGCCGTCATGGCGTCTGAACAGAGAGCGTAAAGGTCAGCGCCGGTCACGTGAGCCGGACAGCGATCCACCACGTCCTGCAGGTTCACCGCAGGATCCAGCTGGAACCTGGAGTCCAGATTAAATATGTTTTTATGTTTGTTTTTCACTCACTGAGCATCCTCTGTTCGTATCACTGAGACAATTTACACAAACACATAGAGGCAGTTAGTGACGGGTCGTTTTCCTGCAGTGACTGCTCCAGACTAAATGTAAATGGGCTGTAATCCTGTAGGGGGGGCTGTTCTTACTTTCTGAGGATGGCCTGAAGAACTTGGAGCTGAGAGACTCGGTCCTCGTTGATGCCGACGTAGACCAGTTTATCGAACCTGGAGACGACAGAGAGACGCAGTTTAACATTTCACAGTCTGAGATCACAGAAACGAGTCGGTCGGAGGAGAGGTGAGGCGAGCCAGTGCTGAACTTTCTAAACTCTGAGGGTAAGATTGGATTAAATGAGTGATGATTGCGTTGGTCCAACATAATCTCTGGGTCGTTCATGTTCTATTTATTTATTTTTTTCAAAGTATATTTTTTTGGGGGCTTTTTTATGCCTCTATTTGATAGCACAGTAGAGAGACAGGAAATGGGGAGGCAGAGAGAGGGGGAGTGACATGCAGCAAGGGCCGTCCGATGCGGGACTCAACTGCAGCGAGGACTGTAGCCTCTACACATCGGGCGCCTGCTTAGACCACGACGCCACACGACGCCCCGTGGCTTGTTCTTAATGTGAATGGAAACCTACAAACAGTAAAGAGGTCTAAACATAACCTCTGAATCAGACTGACGTGTGTGTGTGTGTGTGTGTGTGTGTCAGCTCTAACCTGCCGGGCCTCAGCAGGGATTGGTCCAGCAGGTCCGGACGGTTTGTGGCTCCGATCACAAACACCCCGACAGACGAGTGCAGAGCGTCGAGCTCGGCCAGCAGCTGAGACACGACTCTGTTCACAGAGAGATTCAACCAAACTTTGTTCATCCTGCTGCAGCTGAACAACAGGTGTCACAGACGGCTTCACAATAAAAGAAAGCGATTTAAAAACAAAACAAGACAGAAAAGATGAGTAAACGAAAAACAACAAACAGAAGATTATGTGGGATGTGAAAGAACAAAACGTTGTTAAAGTTGCAGCCTGGTGAGAGCAGGTAAACACTCACCTGTCCATCACCCCTCCAGAGTCTCCACTGCGCCCCCTGCTGGGAGCCAGAGAGTCCAGCTCATCGAAGAAGACGACACAGGGAGCTGCTGAGCGCGCTCTGCAGAACACTGAGCACAACATGGACATACAGTCAGATTTAATTAACTCTCTTTTTAATTAACCTTGAATAAAATATCACAGAAAAATATCAAATGTCCTAAAGGAAACGTACAACAACATGTTACTTAGTTATCTATTATTAATTAGTCAGATCACATGACTTTGTAGCTGCTCTACCATCTTTACATTTGTCCTCAGATCTGCCCGAATCACTGAAAACCTCATTTCTACCTTTAACCTTTATGTATGTTCATATGTATATATGTTTATGTGTATATATGTATATATTTTGTTTACATGTATATATTTCATGTTTATATGTATATATGTTCATGTTGCTGTCCTAAGATGTGTGATGAGCTTTATTTAACGTGAAGCGATACAAACCTTCTCTGATGTTCTCCTCGCTCTGACCCACGTACATGTTGATGAGTTCTGGACCTTTGACGCTGAAACAAGAAGAAACATCAGACACATCAGCAACAGCACAACGCTGGATTTCAGCGTTGTTGATTTCATCGATTTTAAGATTCTACTTCTGACTTTTAAAGCTCTTCATGGCCCCAGAGTATAAATATACTATATATTTCTGCCCTGTCAACGTGAGCGTAGCCTGAGGTCAGCTCTGCAACAACCTGCCTGATGAAAATCAGCATCTTCTTTTAAATCGCTTCTAAAAACAAATTTCTTTCATGAAGCGTTTGAATCATCTCTTTTAAATATTTCACATATTTTTGAAGAAGTTCTGCCAAGGTGTTACTGAGATATCGTGTCCATGAGAGCGAGACGGATGGATGGACAACCTGAAAACAAAACCATCTGACCGTCGCCCGCGCAGGGGAATAAAAACACTGCTGCTATTTTGCGTGTAATCTTGTCCCGACGGGGAAGGACCGGAGGAAGACGAAGGTGATCTCACCTGAGGAAGGTCATGGAGCACTCAGTGGCCACGGCTTTGGCCAGCAGGGTTTTCCCGGTCCCCGGCGGTCCGTACAGCAGGACTCCGGTCCGGCTCAGACCCAGAGAGAGGAGCTCTGGACGCTGCAGAGGGAGCTGCACCGTGTCCAGGATCTCTTTCTTCACCTGCTGCAGACCTCCGACATCCTCCCACCGCACATCAGGGATCTGTTGGTTCAGAGGTGGAGCAATGGTGTGGGGGGGGGGGGACGACTCACATTAAACCAAACCGTCAACACTCAGACGGCGCTAGAGGCTCGTCACACTGAGCTGTGTGTCATCACCTTCGGCGCTCCGATGGCCTTGGACTGGACGTCCTGCAGGGTCTCCAGGGCCGAGGTGAAGTCCTGGTTCTGGATGGTCACTCCACTGGAGCACAGGTCCTCCTCCTCCCGACCACCACTGCACACACACACACACACACACACACACACACACACACACACACACACACACACACACACAATGAGGCTGCGACCCTTTAAAAACGAGTCTTCTTCATGTGTTTAAAGCCCTCCGGTCTCACCAGCTCTGGATCAGCCTCCTGCAGGAAGCTCGTCCGGCTTCAGACACCAGAACCTGCAGGTCCCCCAACACGAAACCCTGAGGATGAGAAACACAAGGTAATGAAGTCACAGTCAGGTTTCTAACTGGACTGGTGTAGGTCTGACTGGTCCTGGTCCTGGTCCTGGTCCTGGTCCGGACCCAGGCGTACCGCTGTGAGCTTGGCGAGTCTCTCCAGGTTCACGTCCCTCCCCAGCTGGAGGTCTCGGCTCAGGCTGAGCAGCATCGAGCGCCGCTGCTCTTCAGTGGGACTCTCGATCGCCACCTGGTGGACGAACGCCGCCATGACACCCGCGGACAGATCCCGAGGTCTGCAGACCGTCGCCATGACTACCACGCTGAAACCAGAGAGAGACACATAGCGTTAACCTGCTGCTCTAACCGGTCCAGTCCAGTCCAGACCAGCTGGTGTTCTGGTTCTGGTGTTACAGTCTGAAGGTTAGAGGTGCTCAGTGACCTGGTGGGGGCGCTGCTGATCAGCTGGCAGAGCGTGGCCCGGACCCTCCCGTCCTCCTCGGCGCCCCCTCTGGCTCTGAGCAGCAGCTGCAGGTTCCTGAGCAGCAGGATGCACGGCTGCAGGGCGTCGGCCCGACGGAACGCCGACGTCAGCTTCACCTCAGAGGCTGCAGGAGTGTCGGCGCACACGCTCACACAGTCCACCTGCACACACACACACACACACACACACACACACACACGTTAGGCAACGGCATTTATTTTTGGAAAGACTTCCTGTGAGCTCCAGGACACAGATTTTCAGATTATATTCAATTTTATACATTTAATAATTAAAGGATGAAAACACCATTCTTAGTCAAATTAATGAATAATTCATAATTAATTCATTTTATCACCCAAACATGTGAAGTTTCATATAATATGTAAAATACAGATTTTATCTGGAGTGGACTCTTTGTCATGAGTAATAATCTGTTCACCTGATCATGTTGAATAATCCTGATCTCAGTATTGATCAAAATAATCAGGATTATGATTTTTTTCCATGATTGAGGCGTGTCGGCCGTCGTACCTTCAGCAGGTGGAGGTTCAGTCTGCGACTCGCCGCGCCGACCGCCGTCATCTTCCCGCTTCCTGCCGGACCGTGGAGGAGGACGGTGCAACCGGACAGAGAGCTGCTGCAACCACAAACAACACTGACATCACTGACCACATGTCCCATCATGCCTCTGTCTACTATAGGTCTTACGGGGACCAGTCAGATCCTCGTGTTCAGGTGAGTTACCTGTGGTGCAGGTGGGGCAGCACGATGCTGCTGATCAGGTCCACCGTCTTGCTGAGGCCCGGAGGAGACAGACTGCTCCACAGGGACGCTCCCTCCACCAAGCAGCAGGGGACGGGGCTGTTGGTGGACGCTCCCTGAGGAGACACACAAACAAACGTCCACTGATACTGGAGCCGCACGACTGTCTCCACGGCAACAGATGAGCGGTGGATTCGCTCCAGGGTCGAGTCGTTTCATCGTCCGTCTGAAGAGCTCGAGCTTCTCTCCTCCAAGTGGAGACTCAGACCAAATATCAGGTCTGTGGCCCAGTTCAGGCCGGTTCAGACCGGTTCAGACCGGTTCTCTAAGGTTACTTCCACACGACTATGTTTTCATTTCAAAAATCATCTCTTTTCCTACGTTACCTCCACCTGTCCACACGACCCCGGGTATTTTCTGAAGACTTTTGGACCCGTTTTATTTTGAAAACACTGGAAACGATGATGTAGACACCCACAGTCGCTCACTGCTGCTAATCAACTGCAGAGTAGTCTATCTGCTTCCTGTTTACACCGGCTCGCACATGCTCAGTGTACGTGTGTGTTTTCAGGTGCGTTAGTCTGGACGGAGATTGTTTCAGTTTGAAAACACTGGTCTCAAATGAAAGCGTGGTCGTGTGGACGTAGTCTTAGTACGTCAGTTCACACTGGGCTTTACAACGTGTGATCAGATCTCACTTCCTGCTTCATATGCAAATAAACAGGTATGTATGTGTGTGTGTGTGTGTGTGTGTGTGTGTGTGTGTGTGTGAGAGAGAGAGAGAGGTACGGAGGGGTTGAGCGAATCATTGCTCTGCTCACGGCTCTACAGTGAAATCAGGATTTATCCATTTGAAATAGTAAAATATTTTGAGTTGATTATGAAACAGCCAGAGGTCAAAGGTCACCATGTAGAGTGAGGTGTGAAATCTGTCCGCCAGGTGAGCTCCTCCTCCTCCTTCTTCTTCTTCTTCTCTCTCAGCAGACGGACACACCTTCTGCACTCTGAAGAACAGCACTGGACACCTGACAGAGGTCAAAGGTCACACAGACTTATCATGGTATGAATAAATCATCTCCTGTCTCCTGGTTTTATAGTGTTAATTTTCATTTTTAAGATACTAGTCAAAACATCCGAGCAGCGTGAAATTAGACAGAAATAATACAGATGTGTCCAGGTGTGTCCGGTCAGGACTGAGGTGTGGTACCTGTGGACGCCCTCAGAGTTGTTCTCCAGCAGGTCTGGATGTTTTCCAGTTGGAACCGATAAGATGTCTCCCTGTGAAACCAGTCTGCACAGAGAGAGAGGACAAACTGGTCAGACTGGGAGACCACAGTGTTGGACAGACAGAGACAGAGACAGTCAGCTGACCTGTGCGTGCTGAAGTGTTCAGACAGCAGGTTGTCGTAGCAGCTAAGGTTGTTGTGCAGCGGAGACGCCACCGGCTGGATGTGGAGCTCGCTGGCGAGTGGCGGAGAAGCCGAGCGACAGAAACTGTCGGAGCGACCGCCGGGCTCCGGGGGAGACGGTTTCCACCTCTGAGACCAAACCACAAGAGACCACAGAGACTCAGCGAGGACATGATGAAGAGCCAGAGCACCAAGATCACACAGACATTTTCTCTCTTCTCTCTACGCAGCTCGGTTTGGTTTTCTCTGTTCAGGTGTTGACACATCTGTCTCTGGTGACACAGAGAACACTGGACACTGACTGATGTGACGTCTTCATTACAGCAAGAGTTTGGTGTTTTTACTTCAATACACAGATCAATGAACTGATGACTAGAGAAAATAATCTGCAGATTAATTGATGACAATAATGAGTGCTGAGTGTGTCGCACCTTCATCCTCAGCGTGCAGCTGCTCACTGGGATCATTTCTCCTTCAGTCATGTTGAACCACAGAGTCGCTGAGATGAAACCGACTTCGTCCTGGTTCTGCAGGTCTGAACTCTGTGTTAAATCCACCACCACCACAGACACCAGCCGGTCCCTGCAGACCCCCCCCCTGACATCGGCCTGAGCCGGCGGGGGTCTGGAGGATCCGCCCAGCCTGGACAGCTTCACCCACTCCTGGTTGAACAGGCCGAGCCGCAGAAGCAGCTGTTTGCTCACAAACACGCAGCTGTCCACGTCCACAGCTGCTCCCTGCTGACCTTTGACCCCGACCCATCGCTGAGTGTTCACCACGCGGACGTCCACCCTGCACTCCAGCGCCTGCAGGATGCCCGAGAACCCCGAGCCCAGCAGCTTCCTGTTGTCGAGAAGAGACCGCCCCCCTCCGAGGCCGTCGGCGTAGTGAGCAAAGTCTGACACGCACAGTCTGAACGGTCTGCAGGGCGGGGGGGCGCCAGGGGGGTCCACCGAGTCCCAGCAGTCCGTCAGAACCAGAGAGGTGTCGGCCGTGATCCGCCCCTGTGTTACAGGACTGCACTCCAACACCAACAGGTCCAACAGCTGCTGCTGCACCCGACAACACCAACAAGAGAAAACACCTTACGGACCAGGACCAGGACCAGGACCAGGACCAGGACCAGGACCTGGACCTGGACCAGGTCTGAGCACAGAGCAGCGGTCATGAACCACATGAAATATTAAATGTGACAGACTTTTAGTATTATTAATTAATTTAAATATACATTTTTTAACCATTAAAAATGAAGAGAAGAAACTCACTCGCTGCAGCTTCTGGAATGTGAATATTTTCTGTTTATGTTTATTTTCCATGACTGAAAACTTAATTAATCAAGTAAATAAATTAGTAGATTAATCAATAATTGGAAAAATCATTAGTTGCAGCCGTACTGCAGAGTCAGGGAAAAACAGGGAAAACTGCAGCCATGTTTTAATTATTAATTATTAATTAATAATAACAATAATAATAATAACAGTTCCAGTAATTGTTATGTGGATCCATGTAAGTTGTTAACCCGGCAAAACTTAAAACTACAAACAATAAATAATATACTTAAACATATATAATAATATGTCATATATTAATAATATATTTGACATAAAAACATTAAACACAACAAAAAAAATCCTCCAATTTGCATAATCATACTGCATTATTTATTATTTATTTTTCTGGCCTTTTCTGTTTTATAGAGATATAAAGTTTGTTGAGATATGACTGTGTAAAACTGTTTTAATTGTCTTTCATTACATTTTCTCATCTTCTCATCTTAGACTTGGAAAAAAAATGTTTTTTAATTTCATATTTTGGGGTAAAACTCTGAATGCAGGACTTACAACTTTTATCAGGCTATTTACTTCTTTATTACTTTTAAATCTATTACTTGCTTTCACTTGAGCTACGGATCTGAGTTTTTCTTCCATCACTGCAACATTAAACTTTAACACTTTACTTTAAGTTTTAAGTGAAAACTGAACGTGTCAGTGTTGAAATGTTCACACACATGCATCCTGTTTGCTTCCGGTAGACACTGAAGTGTTAACGTGATGTTAATAAACTGTTTACGTGTCTTCAGTCTAGAAATAACCTGCCTCACCTGTCCCGGGTCCTCTCCCAGCAGCGGGTGTCGGGGAAGCATCAGCGGGTCCCCTTGCCGGGCCAGCAGCCACTGTCCCGGGCGGCAGAGTTCCAGCAGCCCGCCTGTGAACTGCTCAGCTCCGGCCAGGCGGAGACTCTGCCTGCTGCGGGCTCCCAGCACCACTCTGTCCAGGCTGACCGGCTCCAGAGCCCGGACGGTCCCGGAGCTGCCGAGCCGCTGGAGCCCGTGGTGCCGAAGGAAGAAGCGACTGGTGTACAGCCGGACCCGGCTACGGGACTCGGTGTCGGCTCTGGGGGAGTTCCTCCCTCCGCATCCCGCTGTCTCCTCCTCGGTTGTCGGGTGAACGCACAGTAAAATACCCGGCCCCCCGGAGCTCTGAGGCCGCTGCGGGACGAAGAGGACGGTCGGCGGGTCCGTGTCATTCTGGAAAACCGAGTCCAGCTGAGACCTTAGTATCAAACCATCCAGAGGACTCAGGTGTGAGGGGAAACTCTCCACACAACACAACTCCACCTGCACCGCCATCTTGGACCTGCGTCATCACCGCTGCTGCTTTACAGTTTCCGGCGCTGAATTACTGCCCCCTAGTGGCCGACCAATGGAACTACAACACATAAAACTTTTATTTATTTTTTTATTTTTTTATTTACATTTTTCTAGTACTTTTACTTCCATTACAGTACTTGAACTATAACTACAGTCATTTACAATAAAAAACAATGTGCATGTATATAACATGATGACAATGTGACCCGTAACATCCTCATCAGAACAGTATTTAGAAAACATTGTGTGAGCTGTAAGTTTGATTTACATCGTGCCAAAAGTGCACTATATTTCAGTTAAATTTTAAATAATAGTCCATATTCATCAAAAGTTTAATGCAGACTGTATTTTAAGTGTTAGATCTCTAAAATACACAGTGAAACTTGAACTTAACCTGTAGCTTATGGTAAACATGTAGGTTAGAAATGCCATTTAATGTGGAGAGGTACATGTTCATGTACTCAGAGCCTTAACAATGCCGTCCATGTGCTGAAGAGGACTCATTCTTTTGTACTTGATTCATAACGAATGAGAATAAATAGAACAACAGACACAATGACAGCTTTATTCACTTTTTCGAACTGAGCAGCAAAACTTCCTGTTAACAGTCTGAGCGTGTGTAGCTTTCTGTGTTGTATGATTTATGCTAGTGGAAAGAAGAAATAAAGATATGATTAATTTGACCACACATCAGCAAAATGGTAACGTTAGTGACCTTAAACGAGTAGCCCCAGAGCCCTAATATCAGTAGTGGGATCTGGAATAACAACGCTAGCTAACATCTCCATGGAAATAACATTAACTCCTACTGTCACATCCAAATTGTGATAGCCAGAGTTACCTAAATAAAAACAACTCAACCTTATGCCTCACCCATTTTTGGTATGTTGGCATAAAATGGTCTATATTCATAAAAAACAAAAAGTTCTGATATAAAACTGTTTTCAGTTTTGGGACTTTCCTCCTTATCTTTGATATTTTGAGACATATTGGATCATGTGAACAGTCACTGAAATAAAAACCAATTGTACCTAGGGGGGGCAAAAGGTAGTGAGCAACTGCCCCAGCCATGGAAATGCAGACGTTTCTGATTAGAGGGGGAACATCTCTTTGGTGAAACTGTTCACAACTCAGAGACATCTATGACAAGGAGACACAACTACACACTGATTTCTTTAAGAGATGAATAGTAGTGGAGTAGAAGGGTCAAGTAGCAGTAGAAAAACTTGACAATAAGGTACTTGACTTACTTGTTGTCTTGGGTCCTACTTGGACTTGTGCTTAGACAGACCTGAGTCATTGTGGAAAGTCTGGAGCCAGATGACGTCAGGTTCTTGGGTTTACTGGAAAACTAGTGACACAATAAAGACAAGACACCCTTCCACATGATCAAGACTTTACTTCACAGCTCAGCGCCCATCGACCCCTTACAAACACAACATGGGCTCCAACAACCAGCAGACCTTTTGCACCGTCAGCAGAATCCAAGCAGGTGTAACTTCCTCTCATGGTTAACCCTGTTTTTCTCATGCGTTAAAAAACAGGCATAGTGCCAACACATTGGAACAGAAGGTTAAAGACTTGAAATTTACACTTTGCTTGGCAAGATAAAAAATAAAGATGTCTTTATGGGAAATGATTCTATTATATACAATTCAGAGCATAAACAAAATAAAAACACCCAGAAAATAGAATGATTAAAGCATGCCCATTGTCACACCATGAGGAGGAGGCGAGGCCGAGCGATTTATTTTGTGTTCACATCCAACTTTTCTCTTTATCCAAGACTATAATGAGTACAGAATATAGTTTGGAATCTCTTGCCATTTTAACATTGTTCGGGCATTCAAACCAGTCCAAATTGATCTTATTTTTTGGCCAATAGGAAGGGGAGAACTATATCAAATAATTCAAAGGTACAGATTTTTGTACACGTTGTTTTCCCTCTACAGATTCAATGTATTTGTGATATACTTCACCATGCAATGTGAACCAAGCAGGGTACTGTCGATAGAAGAGTAGTATAGCTGTGGACAAGCTGGGAGTACTGTGTAAGGTGAGTGTCTCTGAAACTGGACTTGTTGGAGGCCACGATTCTCAACTCCAGAAACCAGTTTAATCGGGGATTGACCAGGGAGCAGCAGATGTATCCATAGCACCATGGCAGCAACGCTCTTGTACGACAGTCAGTCAAGATTACTGGAAGCCCATGAAGATAGTTCAGTAAGCTGTCCTTGGAAAAAATAAGAGGTCCGTATACATTAAATGAATTGAAGAGGTCATTGTAACATCACAGTCTAATATGGAATCAGGTGAGAACCTTTGAGGCGTAGCTTGTCCGAAGACTGATTATACACAAACATGTCTCAGTGATGAGTCTCTTTGTATTATCTAGCGGGCACCGACTTCTCCCTGGCATTCGGTTTCCCCTTAGTCGCGCCAGCTGGTTTTGGCCTGGTCCTAGTGGGCATGGTGCCAGAAGAGGACTGGGCGGTGGCTTCCTGTGAGGCGCTGCGCCGCATGGTTGTTGTAGTCCTGGGCGGTAGCATAGGGACGGTTGGGGCTCGAACCGAGAGGGGCTGCCGGGACGGACATACTCTCTGAGGGGAGGGGCTGTCAGTCCTGCAGTGGGTGGAGCTAAGGCTGCGTCGGGTACCAAACAGGACTCGCAGGGGCATTCGAGGGCTGCCGGATGGGGCAGGGGCAGTAGAGGGTCGGGGACATGAAGAGGAGGACCTGGGTGAGACAGGTTTGGATTTCCGTTGGGTACTGAGAGTGCTTAGTCCGATTTTCTGATTCCTGTGGACAGAAGAGTAAACTGAACTTGTTATCACTTTAAATTTTCTAAAAAAATATTTAATCAAACTTCTTCGAAATGAAAACCTCAATACACTAAAAAGGGAGAAAACAGAATCATACCCGTTAGAGAAGGATGGTGCTCCTTTGGGAGTGCTTGATTCTGGCAAGGAAAGAGGAGAAGGAGCAGTGGCAGCTAGCCCCCCTGAAGGCCTCTTTACTGGGGTGACGGGCCTGGGGATCCTGCTCCTGCACTCCTTGGAACCTTGCTCTTCAGTCGTTTTGAGACGTGAGCTCCTCTTGGACTCGTCCGAGGTATGCGTGTCCTCCTCAGAGCCGGTGGTGGACAGAGTTTCCGAAGCCCTGCGACGCTCTTCGTCCCCAGAGGACAACGATGACGACGTCCCAGACAGCATCCTCCTCCTCATCCAGCGACCCTGTTGCTTCTGGACCAACATACGGGCCAAGTCCAGCTGTCTGGCCCGCTGCTGAAGCCGAGCCCGAGCCGAGAGGGAGGAGGACTGCTCTGAGCCTGAGTCCTCTTCAGAAATGAGTACAGGGATTCGGCTTCTGATTTTGGGCTTTATGGCAGCCGGTAGTTCTGACCCAGTTGTTGGAAGCTTGGCAGCTTCTTCACTGGACGATGGCTGTTTCTGAGGCTCCTGTGACAGATCTTTATAACCATGAACCGGTGACATTGTTTCCGGGACAGGCTCCAAAGACTGGGCCGGTACAGTTGATGGACCATTGTCAGTTTTGGTTTGTTGTTTGTCAACTGGTGCAGTTTGGTCTGGCACCTCCAGAGACTCTTCTGTCACTGGTGGTCCCACTGGTGGTCCCCCTTGCTCATGGGTGTCATCCTCACCAGCTGAATCCTTCATGATGGCAAAGACTTCCCGGTCACTTTCCTTGGCAGAGTGACCATTGGAAGACATGACATTGAGGTGTGATGTCTCTGCAATATGGATGAAAGTGCGCTCAACTTTGGTGAAGGGCGGTGATGCAGGAGCAATGGGAGTGGAAGGCCTCAAGTCCGACCTGAGAGCCGGGGACAAACGGCCAGTCTCAGAAGTTTCAGGCTGAATTGCCTCCGCGCCCAGGAGGCGGTCGTTACGGGAAGTGGGGGCAGAGGGTGTGGCCAATTCAACCTCTAGCGCATGATCACCACCAGAGGGAGACTTGCGAGTGTCTCCGGGTGAGAAGAGGACGAGGGTTTTGGATGCATCCTCCAAATCGGGGTCTGCATCAGCAGCTGAGGCGTGCTCCCGCTGTGCTCTCTGGTCCTCGGCCATGAGTGTTGAAGGTGCCGCCTCCTGGCTACGTTCAGTGCTTTTCTGACTGGCCTCACTGTTGGACTCACTCTTTGTGACGTCGTCATCCTTTGGCCCCGGAGGTTCCGGGACTTCTTCCTCCGGCGTGGCGAAACTCCTCCGCTGAGGCAAGGTACCGGTCAGCATGACGGTGAGGAAGTCAGCCCTCTTGGCCTGCAGCTGAGGAAGGATGTGGAAGTGCTCCTTCTCGTCACTCTGGCCCTTTGTCCGGTAGTCTGGGGAGGGTGGCGACTGGGTGCTCTGCTCCGTGGGTGACAACACCTGGAAACAGTTTAACAACACTTTTTATTACCAGTGATTCAACTCAAGACAAGACAGCAATAAACATCATAGGAGTTTACTGAAGGTATTTGCTAACACAATGCATAAACAGGACAAGCACTGACCAACTGAAAACAACGTCACCACTGCCAGAACAATGAATGGTGAATGATGACATGTTCCTGTATTGTTCTAAGAGGATTCATCAACTTATAGCAGTACCACCAATTTTTTTTAAAGCATAGTGATTGTAATTGTATTATGACAAAAAAGAAAAAGTGTGAAGAAGCTAATACTAACAGTCCCTCCCAGTAAGAACGACAACAGGAACTGATGTATTTGCCCCCAAAACCATTTTAATGTCATTTTGGTTGTACACAAGCTTTTCAAGATTGTCTAGATTACATACATTGATATAAAAGGCACAAAAAAATGCATTGCAGAGTTTATCCTTAGACAGCACGCAGTCTGATATCAGGTGATTTTCAAGTGTTTCCCTTCGTAAAGATTTAACATACAGCCTGTACATACTAAACCCCGCTAATTATCATGCTATTAGAGATTAACTGCAAACCTAATTACTTTCTACATTTCTGT